TTGATGTAGCTCAGCCGTAGTTGAGTCACTTGGCGGGTGTCGCACTGTGCGGTTACCGAGGGCGTCACCTCACAACAATTTTGCATTTTCGGTTTAATGCCACTCCTCTCCAACTATTGTTTTGTTATCTTAACTGGATAAATTATGGTGCAGACCTCCCCCTACCCCCCCCCCCCATGTAACGCCACTGGTCACCAGTTGACTGGATGTTAAGTATCTCACCACCACCACCAACATGATCATCAACAGCCACCCGCTGTCTACTCGCTACAACAACCTGTCTACAGTATAGATCTGACCCCCCCCCCCTCCCCCAATCGACTAGGACCCGTCCTGCAAGTGTTTGTTTACTGCAGCAAACGTGAAGTATTCGAGTGCGTGACGTTTTGGGCTGGAATATTTTTACAATTATAAGTTGTCAAGTTTTCAGTAGCAGAAAGCCGGTCACCTTCAGATCTGTGGAAAAATATTTTTGTCGTCTGTCAAAGTTGGCAGACGTCAGTTTGACAGAAACAAAATGGCGGGCTGTCTGAGAAATAATTGTGCATGTCAGTTGTTTTTTTGTTCCCATTATGTATGCGGTTTTGTTCAATTGTTTTTGGAGATTTATCTCATTGTACTTGGTATTTTGTCTCAGTGTTTAGGGAGGGGCAAGGTGGGAGGGGTGGGGGTTAGGGTCGAGGTTAATGGTAAATGGTTGGAGTGTAATCTGGACAAGTGTTTCTTCCAGGCTTTTTTCTCCGGGGGGAGGGGGGTGGCAGACGTCATAATTCGGGAAGGGGGGCGGACACTAGTAAAAGTATACGTTTTCTATATAATTCAATCTCATTCGGGGGGCGTTAGACTTTCTTGGGGGGGGGGGGGGGGCTGGGAGGAGAGCCCCCCCCCCCCCCGTTGAGATGCCTGGACGTGACACTTGCTACAAGTTTAACGGGACGTGACACTTGCTACAAGTTTAACGGGACGTGACACTTGCTACAAGTTTAACGTAGACGTGACACGTGCTACAAGTTTAACGGGACGTGACACTTGCTACAAGTTTAACGGGACGTGACACTTGCTACGTGACACACCTTCAGAATGTAATCCCCACGTTACAGCAATGACCTAGGTAGCACGTGACTCTAATTTTAACAGTACAAAGTACACTCGAGGTTTGGCCGGCTCTGCTGTGGTCTACATAACCGTTTATCTGACAGATAACGTGAAGGTGAAGGTCACAAGATACGACACACCAGATGTGACCTATATTTCAGGTGTCACAGTTCCACCACCTACTGTACTGACATTGTCCAAAAATCGTTTCAATTAATTCATTTTTTCCCGATTTTCCGCATTTTGTCCCGACCATCGGAAATTACTGATTGTCTGTAAAGTTTAACTCTAGCACACAAACAAGCAAATAAACAATCTGGAATTGCCTTAATGGGCCGTAACTCCGTGAGTCGCAGACGGAACGATAGCAGGATGATAGTCTGGAACCCTCGCGGCTCTCACGCGTCAAAGGTCAGAGGTCGAGGCCCAGGTGACGTCTGTTGTACTACTGAAACTGCAAAGGTCACGGCCTTGAAAGCTACTACGTGGGAGACGTTGAAATAAACTCCGTAAAAATCCCCCCTCCCCCTCCCCTCACCGCACAAGGTAGATAATTAGTTTGGTTTTAGGATTAGCATTAAACCGCCGGAAGACAGACAATGCTGGCTTACGGTTGGAAGGTAACACAGAATACTGGGGCTCAGTGTTTCTTCCAGACTTGTTTCTCCGGGGGGGGGGGCACTTGAAATTTTCGGGGGGGGGGCGGTAGACTTTCTTCGGGGTGGGGGGGCGGACACTGTTAAAAGTATATATTTTCTATATAAATTATATAAATTTGATCTCTTTCGGGGGGGGGGGGGGGGGGGGCGGTAAAAAAATTCGAGGGGGGGGGGGGGGGCTTCGCCTGGAAGAAACTCTGCTGGGACTGCCATTAAAATACCTCGTCTTTTGGAAAGAAAATCTCGAGTCAAGCCACCACACTCGATATTAATGCGAACTTGTAGGTCGACTTTTTGAGCTGACGTGTCCAGAATAAGGTCATTGTTTTTACATGTAGGGACCTTGTGGTTTCTTGTAAGGACCTTATTGTCTCTTGTAAGGACCTTGTGGTCACATTTAGAGACCTTGTGGTCACATTTAGAGACCTTGTGGTCACATTTAGAGACCTTGTAATCACATTTAGAGACCTTTGTTCTCACATGTAGAGACCTTATTGTCACATTTAGAGACCTTGTTGTCACATTTAGAGACCTTGTGGTCACACCAAAGGACCTTGTGTTTAACTACGTAAACGCCAAGATGTGCTACTTCATGTTGGGCAACAAAATGTGCTAGTTGTAGGGCGCCAAGATGTACTTCTTGTGGGGCGCTTATTTTTATTACTTCTGTAGTCGCCAGTCTATAGGGTGAATAAAACCATAAACGCAAACTAAATAAAGTTTAATAGATTTGTTTACTATATCAGTAAGCCTACATTACAGAGCGACATCGAATTCTCTTTTTTTTTTTCGAAAATACCAAAATAAAATGTAGCAAATTTATTTAGTTCAAGACAAAAATAATTCTCTAAATTCTCGAGGTATATCAGCTTACACCGACCTAGATTTAGATAAATTGTTGTCATTTAAAAACAAAAACAACAAACTATTTAACTTAAAGTGCGGTAATACAAGAAGTGGGGACGATATAGAGTTGGGACGGGCGTAAGGGGCGTGGGACGGTAATGAGTGGAGTGGGGTGGTGGTAAGTGGAGTGGTTTGGGAAAAGTAATGAGCGGCATGGTGACGGTAATACGTGATACAGGGTAGGATCTACAGAGTGGAGTGAGGGTCGTGATGAGTAGCGTGGTGACGGTTATGAGTGGAGTGGGTATTGTACAAAGTAGAGTGGCGTGGGACGGTTCGGAGTGGAGTGGCGTGGGAGCTCTGATGGTAGTGGGAATAGTATTGAGTGTAGTGGTGATTGTAATTGAGTGGAGTGGGTAAGTTAACGAGTGGAGTGTGAGTGGAGTGTGGAGGGTAATGAATGTTTAGTATCAGTGACCAGGAAATGAACCAATTTTTTCCTGCCAGTTGTTGACGTTCATAACCCGGTGACCTGACGTCAGGGGTAGCAGGCAGCTGACCTCTGACACCACATAAATTATCTCAGTGTCAACGTTATTGTAGGGACCTTCGTGTCCCGTTAGAATCATTAGCACTCCAATCTATCGATCACTCAATCGATCACATCAATCAAATCAGTCAATCGATCACAAGAATTGATCTCTGGAGTTCTTGCTTTGTGTGAAAGAAATCTTGGAAATGACTTTCCTTGAAACCTACATTTTTAGACTTACAGACTTTTGGACCAACAGAACTCTAGACATAGACCTTCAGACAGAAACCCTAAAGATCTTTAGACCAGAAGACCAGAAGACCTTGAGATAAAGACCTTCAGACACAGAAATATAGACCTTTAGTCGCACAAAAGTCTTTAGATTATTTAAACGTCTTAGATTGAAGCACTTTCTCTCTATTCGTCAACTTATTTCTCTCCCTCTCCAGCTTTTTTTCCTTCTCTTCACCCCCCCCCCCCCCCAACTTAAATTCTCTCTCTCTCTCCATTAACTCCATCATTATACTCTCTTTATCACCTCCAATCTTTCTCCCCCTACCTATCTACCGAAATACTTCCTCTCTCTGTTTCTCTCTCCATAGCCTCAAATACTCTCCCTCTCTCCCCCCTCTCTCCATCAGCTCAAACTTAACCTCTCTCCCTCCCTCTCCCTCAATCCATCAGCTCAAACTACATCTATCCCCCACTCTCTCTCCCTCTCTCTCCCTCTCTCCCTCCTCCGACAATGTCCCAATAAGGACAAGCTCAAACTGTCAACAAACCCGACCATCTGGTCAATATTTCCCGACCGTCTGGTAAATATTTCCCGACCATCTGGTCAATATTCCCCGACCGTCTGGTCAATATTCTCCGACCATCTGGTCAATATTCCCCGACCATCTAGTCAATATTCCCCGACCGGTTGGTCAATATTCCCCGACCATCTGGTCAATATTCCCCGACCGTCTGGTCAATATTCCCCGACCATCTGGTCAATATTCCCCGACCATCTGGTCAATATTCCCCGACCGGTTGGTCAATATTCCCCGACCATCTGGTCAATATTCCCCGACCATCTGGTCAATATTCCCCGACCATCCTGTCAATATTCCCCGACCATCTGGTCAATATTCCCCGACCATCTGGTCAATATTCCCCGACCATCTGGTCAATATTCCCCGACCATCTGACCAAACAGGTCGATTTCTCGGCCATGATACTTGCTCACATCACGGTCAATTAGCGGGGTGGGGTGGGCTAATGAGGGGGTGAGTGCTGGCTTCATTAGTGCTGGGGGTGTCTTAATGTTGGGGGGGGGGGGAGGGAAATGATGGTGCGGAGGGTATTTGGGTCTTTGGACGTTGGTCTTAGTGTGTGGTAGATGGCTGGGACGGTAATAACTGGTAAGACAGGTTGGTGAGACAAGTTGGTAAGACAGGTTGGTGAGACAAGTATGGTGAGACAAGTATGGTGAGACAAGTATGGTGAGACAAGTATGGTGAGACAGGTTGGTGAGACAAGTATTGTGACATATTTGGTGAGACAGGTTGGTGAGACATGTGTGATGAGACAGGTTGGTGAGACAGCTTGGTGACACAAATATGTTGAGACAGTGTGGTAAGACATCGTATTGTGTCACATTTTCCCCTACTAGTGCAGTTATCGATCTATGATTTTCAACACCCCAAAGTTCGACAAATAAAAAAATCAATTGTACTTAGTCCGCTGTTGAAAACACATAGCGGATTATTTGTGAATCGAAGCTGTGGAGTGTGGATTCATAATTACCTGTAAATTGTTTTAAACGTGTTTATGTGCTTTACATCTGGGGTCTTAAGTAGGTCACTCGGGCAACAGCTGACGTAAGAGGGGACAGGTGAGATGGCAGTTACCTGGGGCTGGCGAGGTGAAGCGACCGGTCCAGGATACCACAATCCCAGTCTATCGTGCAATAGATTAGTCGGATAGAAATCTGGATGAATATTTAACAGTTTCTGCTATCGAGGTAAATCTAAAGGAAAAGTAGTAAAATCGTCAGGATTAGTGTTTTCATTGTGTGGTTCGATAGTGTTGTGTTAGCACAGCGAGATTGTCCTGTGTTAGCACAGCAAAGCAGCTTTGGATAGCCTCGAGTTTACCATGGGAAACACACAGACGCGTAAGTAAACAATCTGTGGTTTAGCTTTTGGTTAGGAGAACTGGTCATTGGTTGTACAGTCAATAACTAAGTCTATAAATTTGTTATTATCGTGTCTATAACCACGTCTATAACGAAGTCAATAACCATGTCTATAATCTCGCTTATAATCACAACCCCCCCCCTCCACCCAGAGGCGTAGCGACCCTTCCTGGCGCCCGGGGACAAACTTTTCGATTTGCACCCCCCCCTCAAGATTTCGATTTGCACCCCCCCCCCCCCTCAAACATTCGATTTGCACCCCCCCCCCCCATCAAGATTTCGATTTGCAACCCCCCTCAAACTTTCGATTTGCACCCCCCTCGACCTTTTAATTTATTTTTCCAACCCATTTTGGCGCCCCCTAACGTCGGCGCCCGGGGACATATGCCCCCCCCCTCGCTACGCTACTGCCTCCACCTCTCAGATGAAGGTGTCTGGCCTTCAGGTGATGTCACACCTTTAATTTTCTCCTCATAATTGTATGCGACTAGCAATCATCGCTGCGCTCTCACAATTAATGGATTAATTAACCTAATGAACACAAACGTTTCACGGTCCATCGATCACTGTCTTTACAGCGTGTCTTACAGTTCAGCGACCTCAGGAAGTGACGTCAATGTGGATTAGATTTACGCGGACCGTAACCACGCAGTTAGCAGCATTGTGCCATACAGTGACCTCTAGTTTACGTCCGTTAACTGGTCCACACGATGACTGGTCCAGCCGTCCACCGTAGCCTTTCACGTCCACCCGCTTTGTCCGTTCATCCGTAGACCATGTTGTCACGTCCACCCGACCACAGCCCATACCCTACCGACCATGGCCCACCCGACCACGGTCACCCGACCACCGCCCACATGACCACGCCCACATGACCACGCCCACATGACCACTGCCCACATGACAACTGCCCACATGACCACTGCCCACATGACAACTGCCCACATGACCACTGCCCACATGACCACGCCCACATGACCACTGCCCACATGACCACCGCCCACATGACCACGCCCACATGACCACTGCCCACATGACCACCGCCCACATGACCACGCCCACATGACCACTGCCCACATGACCACTGCCCACATGACCACTGCCCACATGACCACTGCCCACATGACCACTGCCCACATGACCACTGCCCACATGACCACTGTACTAGGATGTGTCTGAAACCCGACACATCTGGTGTGGATAAAACAATGACCAGCTCTAAGCTGACAGATGGATGAACATTTTGATAAGTTTAAGTCTCCTGTTTAACGTGAGAAAAAAAAAACTGCACAAATAATTAATTAGGTTGCTGCTGGTGCACATTAATTATAATGATAAAAATCTGGTTCCTGTTCAGTTAAAGAAAGTTTAAATTTGTATCTCTCCATCACCAAACACATATGCCCCATAAAACAGAACAACAATTACAATTGCCGTTTCGACTGAAGGTCTTCATCACCTAATTGCATAAAGTGAAGAAGAACTTGGGTTGAAACAACAGTTGAAATTGTAGTTGTGTTTACATTACACAGAAACACATATACACCCACGTACACACACATATTTAGCCATGTTCCAGTGACTTCTGGAAATCTCTCCAGAACACACTTTTGTCCTGAATGTCTGGATGTCTGTTCCAATTGTTAAGTGGTAACCATCACCCTTCCCTCCCCACACACACACCTTAACCCCACTCCCCAACACCCCACACACACACCTTAACCCCACCCCACCCCCACACCCCACCCCCACACCTCCACCCCGCCCCAACCAACTCGTCTCTGGCAATGACGGCTGCCACCACAGACGGCCAACACACAGCTAATCCTCCCCACAAATTGACTTTTTTTTTCTTTGACAAGCTATCCATTACACACATTGTTAAAAGCTGCTTGTTAAGATAACTGGGCAAACACAATCTAATAGACTTTTTGAATGAATACTTTAATTAGTACATAGCAATTCTAGTTTCTAAAATAAAATATTTTTTTTAAAACATTCGAGTTTTTAGTCTAAAATGGAAGTACACAAAAAATTCATTTTTTAGCATATTAAGTCCTACCTCGACATACGTGTGCCACCACATACGAGTACCTCGACATACGAGTGCCTCAACATACGAGTGCTTCGACATACGAGATGTTTACGAACAGTTGAGCGAGCTAAAATTTGCTTTGAGATCCGAGCGAACTTTGACATACAAGTGGTCGGATAAGCTGGTTTAACGGTTCCTGGGAAAATAAACGCTTCGAAAAAGTTGCTACTGATTGTGCATCGGAGGAATCTAAAGACACTTACCTAACTATTTCCGGAACATTCTGAAAGGGAGGGAAAAATAAACCATCTAGGACAGGTTTATTTTTACGACCTGCGGGGTAGAGTTAGGAAAGCCAAGAAAGCTTGGCGAAAAAAAAGATAGGCCAAGAGAAAAGCAGCAACGAAATGCAAAAGAAATTACACATTATATTTATATATAGCATTTTGCTGCAATTTTGTTATTGACATTGAAGCTCCGTTAAGTATATGGATTAGATGTAGGGTTTAGAGTGTAACAAGTGAATAAAAGTAGTGATCACAAGAGCTTAACATTAACAGTGATAAATGAACGAAGTTAAGCTCCGACACCATATCTTTTAAACCCTACACAAGCTCAAGTCGGCTGATGTCCAAGGTAACTGCACCTTATAAAACCAGTTTCTCTGCATTTTCCAATATTATGTTGTTAAACAATATTGGCCGTGTTTATATGCACTTTTCTTATTTAAAAAAAAAGTATAAAAAACAATTCGGGTGGCATTTTTGGGAACGGATTAATTGTATTTTAATAAATTTCAATGGAGAAAATTTCTTATGGATACGAGCATTTTGACATACGAGCAATGTTACGGAGCGAATTAAACTCGTATCTCGAGGTAGCTATATAATGTGAATACACCACAATTTCAGTTTCTATTACATAATGTGAGTCCACCACCCAGTGGCGTAGCGAGGGGGGGGGCGGGTGGTGCGGACCGCACCGGGTACACCATTTAGGGGGTGTCACCAAGGCAAAAAATAGCAAAATATATTGAGAAAAATGATAATTCCACTTAGTTAAGTGATTAATTCGAGTGTTAAAGTCTCTTAAGAGCAAATTTGACAAATCCCGACAAGGGTGGAGGGGGGGGGGGTGCAAATCGAAAGTTTGAGGGGGGGGGGGGTGCAAATCGAAAGTTTGAGGGGGGGAGTGCAAATCGAAAATTGAAAGTTTTTCCCCGGGCGCCTGGAAGGGTCGCTACGCCTCTGGGAGGGGGGTGACACCCGACCTCGCTACGCCACTGCCAACACCTAATTATTGGAACACCCGCTAGTCTGACTGTTGGTAGGAGCTTCTTGAATAAGGCGTCCGCCGCTCCCCCGGTCATGGGTCCGTGTTTAATCTAATTAACTATCATTGGCTGACCTAGGTTAATTAGTGGAGGGAGGAGGGGGGATATTTTACCCCTCGTATCCCCACCCCACAGCTTGTTTACAATTGTGAAGGATTGCTGGTTTCATTTTTATTCTACAAACTGCTAGATTTATCGACGATGCTAACATTGAACGAATAGGTTGCGTGCGTGAAAGCTATAGCCGCCACTACCACTGTCCATTAGATTGAGTGACACTAGGGGTGCCCGCACCCAAAAGTTTTAACGTTGTTTTAACGGTACGGCTCCATCTGACACGTACGATTAGTGAGCTAATTAAGTCTCGCTAATAAAGAAACGTAAATATTTATTTATTTTTTTTTTTTTTCACTCACCAGATTTTTTTTTTCTTTGGCTCCACTCGGGGATATTTCGTTCGTGGATTCATGTCTTTCGTCTTAGTAGGTGTCTTTGTGTAAGTGGTGTTGGTATGTGTGTGTGTGTGTGTGTGTGTGTGTGTGTGTTTGTGTAGCTGGTGTGTATGTATGTATGGGTGTGCGTGTGTTTGTAAACGAGATGTGTTGTATGTGTATGTGCGAGTGTGTGATGTATTTATGGAATGTGTATGCAACGGTGTGAAGTGTATGTGTATGATGATGTGGCGTGTTTAATAGTGCAGTGTGCGTGTATGTCTATAGTGGCGTGGATGTCTTCAACAGTCATAACAGAATGCCTACCAAAAGGTTTCTAACAGCGATTTAATACACTTGAAGCAGCTGAGACAGAAGAAAACAAAACAAACTCCGATTATTAAAATACATTGCCGCACCTAGGGACACCATGAGTTACCCTGAGTTACCCCACATTGTGACACCTTGTTACCCCACATTGTCACCCTGAGTTACCCCACATTGTGACACCTTGTTACCCCACATTGTGACACCCTGAGTTACCTTAAGTTACCCCACCGTATGACACCCTGAGTTACCCCACATTGTGACACCCTGAGTTACCCCACACTGAGTTACCCTGAATTGTGACACCATGAGTTACCCCACATTGTGACACCCTGAGTTATCCCACATTGTAATACCCTGAGCCTTGAGTTACCCTGAGTTACCCCACACTCTGACACCCTGAGTTACCCTGAACTACCCCACATTGGCGCCTCAGTATGAAAGGATTTGAAAAAACAAAATAGTTCGTTGATCTTAAAATCTTATAAACATTTAGTGCCATTCTAATCCACTACACAGGTCAGTATCAGTGTTATATATCAGCTGTAGACGACACTTGACCAGCCTAATACAGCTACCCCGCCCCCCGCCCCCCGCCCCCCCCCCCCCTCTCCATCCACATTACCACCCATCCAAATAATGCACACACCCAGATAACTCTAGCACCCAAATTACCCACCCACTTAACCCACACAATCCACCCACCCACATAACCCACACAATCCACCCACCCACTTAACCCACACAATCCACCCACCCACATAACCCACACAATCCACCCACCCACATAACCCACACAATCCACCCACCCTCATAATCCACAAACTCCACCCACCCACATAACCCACCCAAC